CACCCCCCCCCCCCCCCCCTGCGATTAGGATAACTGGCAGCTTCCTTTTCTTTATCCCTGTCTGACATTCTGATTGCTGCATGATCAGATGGAAAGAACAGTTGAATTTGAAGACAATCTGAAGATTCTAAGAGATCTAGAGAAACTATGTAAATGCTGTTCAGAAGCTGAGAATTTGAGTGGTAATGGAGATGGATTCACTATCATATTGGGGGAGAACCCTCTGGAAAGGCTTGGCTTATGCATCAAAGAGGACTACTTATATGATGATGAAGATGAAGATGCAATATTGAGTGGTGGAGATTGGGAAGATGGAGAGATCTTGTAATAAGAGCGCATTTTTGTGAAACGTTTCTTGTTTATACTAGCCTGCTTCTCCTTGTGTATATGCACCGATTTTTATCTCACCCTTAATCCAGTTTCATAGGAGAGTTAATGTAATAACTGCATATATCTGATTTTTTTTTCAGTTTGTGGTATATACCAACAGGTAGGGGTTTGTTACTCATAATAAACCAAGCATTCAGAAAAATAATCCCAGGTGTATTATAATTCTACTGCCCCTTAGTGTGAAAATTCATTTAGGTAGATGCAGCGAACATGATAATGAGTAAATAGGCTGAAAAATGTCCTTCAAATATAGAACATTTGTTCTTCAGTTTGGTCTAGTTATGTCTCTTAATATATGCCTATATTTCTCGTAGAACCCAATGAAGCATAATTTGAACACTAATGTGGGGGTGTTGTTGTGGACCTACCCACATATATTTAGGGTATATTCAGTCTAATTTAGTTCCAACGGCAATTGTGCAACATAATAATATTTTTCACTAATTTAAGGCATAACACATTTTGGTGGTCTTGGAGTTGTAATTCTAATTTTTCACTGTAATTACCCAGAAGATGCTCTGTTTCATTATATGTGATGATGTTTGACAGGGTTTAAAATGTTAATTTGATGGGGGAAAAAACTGCATTTATTGTTAAATTTTGATTAGTAAAATACATTTGATGAATACTTATAAATAATAAAATTTGTACAAGTGGAAACAATGTAAATTAACATGAAACAGATTGCGTACTTACATTAGGAATAATCTTCATGCCTAACTCAATGTTTTTTGTTCATACTAGTATTGCCTAGCTGATGATGACAACTAAGATGAAGTAATATAAACTATACATATATATATATATATAAATAAAATTAAGTAAATGTGTTTGAGTGTACTGTCCTATAAGGGACGCCAGAGATTCATTTTCTATTAATATCTTTTTAGTCGAGCTCGTCCCGTCATGCTTAGGTGTGGTGCATTTACATATTTCATTTGTGGGCTATTGTATTTACCCGTGGCAATCGCCGGGGTTGCCGAAAAAAAGAGGGAATCTACACCTAAACAAAAGGATTCTATTGGTCTTGGATAGTTGGATTTGGCTGTTCGTTTTCATCGAGTGAGCAAATGGAGTCAACGCCGGAAAAAATGAACTTTGGAAAATCTCTGTTAGTTCCAAGTGTTCAAGAGCTTGCCAAACAGCACCTAACTAATATTCCGTCCAGGTATGTCCGCTCAGAACAGGAATCTCCGGTCATTTCCGCCGCAGCATCAGTTCCAATTATCGATCTTCAAAAGTTGATATCAGGGGATTCTGAGCTTCAAAAGCTTCACTTTGCTTGCCAACAATGGGGTTTCCTACAGGTCTCTCAATTTGCTTAATTCCTTTTATTTTCGTGGCTTCCTTTATTAATCATAAACTGAGGCTTATTTTCGTGGCTTCCTTTATTATTCATGACAAGTTAGGTTATAAACCATGGAGTGACACCTTCGTTGTTGGAGGACTTCAAGAGAGAGGTTATTGAATTGTTCAAACTTCCAATGGAAGAAAAGAAGAAACTATGGCAACAGGAAGACAATCATGAAGGCTTTGGACAGCTATTTGTTGTATCAGAGGAACAGAAACTTGATTGGAGCGACATATTTTACATAACTACTCTTCCCTCTCATATCCGGCAAATGGACTTGTTTCAAAAATTGCCTTCAAAGCTCAGGTGCTTATCTCCCCCACCGTGGTTCACTCTCCCCGGAGTCTTATCACATAGCATCTTTCAATGATACAAGGTCCCTTTGCAGCTTTATTGTATCCTCTTGGGTATCATCACCTTACGAACATCCTCGTCAAGGATCACTATATTGCAGATGTTCTGTTAAAATTTGATTGAGAAATTTCCTATAACTTATGCAGCAATTGCTGGTGCTGACTAGTGTAATTAGAGATTAGTAAGTCATTGCTTATAAACTGTTGGTTAGTAAGAGCAGATATAGGCCTGGTATGTAACGGTAGGAACTAAATGACCTGAACTATTAAAGGAGGCATGAATGAACCAGTTAGTTAGCATAGTTTAGGTGTATGTTTGAACCTTTTCGATTTTTCCCTTACATGTAATATATTTAGGCCAAGTGGGAGAGAATTGCTCATCAATTGTCATGTTGTATCCTATTCAATACTTCGTTAAGCTTATGCATATTCTGTCAAACTGCTGATAATCTTAGTACTCATTTTTATGTGTAAACATTGTGGTGATACTTCTTAGATGATAAATTTTATTCTAAGGTGGTATAGTTGCACTGATGATTATGACTTGATAGTCCCAAAATGCAGGGAAATCATGGAAGCATACTGTAAAGAAATCAAGAACCTAGCAATGATCATCTTATGTCAATTGGCAAAGGTTTTAAGGATGGATGAAAAGGAAATGCGAGATCTATTCAGTGATGGTGTGCAGTCAATAAGGATGAATTATTATCCTCCTTGCCCCGCGCCAGAAAAAACCATTGGCCTCAGGCCTCACTCTGATGCAGATGCCCTCACCGTCCTGTTTCAGCTAAATGAAACTGAAGGTCTCCAAGTTCGAAAAGACGGTATTTGGGTGCCTGTAAAACCCCTCCCAAATGCTTTGATTGTGAATATTGGCGATATTATGGAGGTAAATAATAACATTCTTGTTGAGTAACTGATTTCTCTAAGGTTTGTAATTCTGTATACATGTGTTATTTGACTTGACAGATAGTAAGCAATGGTGTTTATAGGAGCATTGAGCACAGAGCAATTGTAAACTCAAACAAAGAGAGGCTCTCTGTTGCAACATTCTACAGCTCCAACCTCGACTCCGAATTGGGACCTGCACACAGCCTTACTGGACCAAATAATCCTCCAATTTTCCGAAGAGTTCCATTGGATAAATATTTCAAGGATTTTTTTGCACGAAAACTTGATGGAAAATCGTATATTGATTTCATGAAGGAAGAGACGATGGATGATGAATCCTAGGGAGAATTTTGATAATTTAGTTGGTTATTAGTATTTTTACGAGTTACACTTGCTATTGTTTAAATGGCTGACATTACTTTCCTTGTTTTGAACAATGTTGGGTTTCTTGAAAAAAATTGAAGAAGGTTTGTTTCTCCCCGTTGCTAATGAAGAGAAGAACTTTTACGCTTATATAGAGAAACACTTCATCAAGCTATTTAAAGAGTTGAGAAGAGAGGGTCTCCTTCACCGTCCATCTTATAGCTTAGCTTGGCTTCGGCACAGAGGCGTATCCAGGATTTCGGAATGATGGGTGCACAGTGCACTATTGTGAAAAGGTGAATCTAATTGGTTTGACACTTAGTTTCGTATCTTGAAAATAGTTAAAATTTTAAATCTATAGGTCCAAAATTGAAATGATTAATTAATTATAACGCCAAAAATTCTACCAATACCCACTTAGAGAGGTGCTACCTAATTTTAAAAAGAAAAATAGTACAAGATAGATATAAAATTTAAATTTCTAGTCTCATTGAGAGGTGCACCCAATCATCATTACATTAAATGATACTTCGATTGTGGGTTCACACATCTATATTTAACAAAAATTTTAAAAATATAACACTACTATATATGATTTCAGGAGGGAAGGATGGGTTCATGTGAACTCGGTGACCCCTCCTGCAAACGCCTCTGCTTCGGCAAAATGATTGGTAAATATTTTGGACAAAATTTATTTTTCATTTTTCACTAATTTATCTTTCATTTTTCACTAATTTATCTTTCTTTTAACTAAATTAATTTGCGCGAAATAAATTGTTTAATTAAAATTTGCGAAATTATTTTTCCAACAGAAACAGTCACCTCCTTTCTCGAACAGATATTTTTGCACCTGTTAGTGGCTATAAAATTTCAGAGGCAAATAACAAAATTCATCTTAGTAAAAGCAGACAAGATTTTTCTAGGCACCATATTATTATTATTATTATTTTATTTTTTATTAATTTATTAAAAGTGGGAAGCTCCAAAGATGAAAAATTGGATTACCATTTTACCCCTAAGTTAAATTAAACATCTAATTAATTAAATATTAAATAATAATATTTTAATTATTTTTTGAATGGTAAGTTATTTATTAGAAAGGTAATGTAGAAGAGCAAGAGTCAATTAGGATTTCTAGAATTTTAAGAGTCCCGTGTAATTGGTAAAATAATTAAAACTGAATAATTGTTCTTAAATAAGTACATGAATCAAGGTTTTCCCCCTTGTAATCTTAAATTAAAAAATATGAAGAGTTGCAACTAAATCAATATATACCATTATCAAATACGAATTTGTCATCTTGGGTTCTTCCACTAACAGTTCTATGTACTCCTATGGTAAAGTTCTTCTTTTCTCCTCTTTTTCCATCTTCTATTTGTTGGTAAGATTTTGATCATTAATATTTTTTTTCCAAATTAGTCTATCTATGATCTGAGATTAACAATAGAGTGTATAGCAAGTTTGACATCTTCGCTTTATTTAGAAGCATCGAAAATAATTTTGAGGAAGATGAATTCATAAGGTTAGAAATATCAAGTATGACTTCTACATTGTCCTAAAATGATTAAGCTTGATTACCTTATATTAAATGAATCAAATTCATTTGATTCGATATTTTTGTGCTTTTTTTATAAATTATATTTGAAAGGTTTGGTTCATTAAGTTATGCACAAGATCGATCTAATAATATAATGTTATAATTTCACTTTTGTTTTTAAAGGAAGAAAACAGTAAGATGAATTCAATGAGGTTAAGTTGGTATTACATTTTAAAATAATGTCTATTTAACTTGATAAGAGTTTTTACTTATTGAGGTTTTTGGGTGTGCACAAATAGACACTTAAACTTGTATAAAGTTAAACAAATAGACACACATGTGTCTTACGTGATATCCTACGTCATAGAAATTTGAGTCCTATGTAGTGTCCTACCTGTATTATACCATATAGGATTCATGTGTCTATTTGAGCAAATCTAAAGTTGAAGGGCATAAATATGAAATGAGGCCAAGTTATTGGGATACTTATGTTTTCTTACTTTGGATCAGGTACAATATAACCCCAATTTGTCATTGTTTTAGAGTTGCGGTGCGGCGGCAATGTAAAGCTGGATGCTGACGATGAGATAAACTAAAATATGAATAAATAAATGACTTAAATACTTTGGAAATTGATATGGGAGGATTCTCTGTAAGTCGATCTGGTTTGGGCTGTTTGTTTTGATTGAAACGTTTTTATATATTATAGTACATGCTATCATTTCACACATCTCTATACATATGCACGTTTGCTATATATCAAAAACAAGTTCTTTTAGAGGAAGCCAGAAAAAAACAACAACAACTCATTTATCGATGGAAGAAGCAAGCTCGAGAAATCTAGGTACTACTTTGAAAGTACCTAGTGTTTGCGAGCTTGCAAAGCAAGAACTAGCAACCATTCCATCGCGATATATTCGTGATGATTTAGAAAAGATATCCTCTTCCATATTATTGCCTCAAGTTCCAGTGATTGATATGGAAAAACTGCTGATAATAGGAGATCATGATAATTCGGAGCTTGAGAGGCTTCATTTTGCTTGCAAAGAATGGGGATTTTTTCAGGTATATATATTTATATTTCTTTGAGAATTTTAGTTGTGGAGGAACGTTCTAAATATGCATCGGTTTTTTGTAGGTGGTGAATCATGGAGTGAGTTCATCGTTGTTGGAGAAAGTGAAGTCAGAAATCCGAGCATTTTTCGATCTACCAATGGAAGAGAAGAAGAAGTTTGATCAACAAGAAGGAGATGTTGAAGGATTTGGACAAGCCTTTGTTTTTTCTGAAGAGCAAAAGTTAGATTGGGGTGACTTGTTTTACATGACCACTCTCCCTACTTATTTGAGAAAACCTCACATATTTCCCAAGCTCCCTGACTCACTTAGGTAAAAGTAAACGAACATCTTAATAATATTAAGACTTTAGTTTGTTACATATATATATGTTAATCATTCAGATCTATTCAAACCTAAAAAACAAACAAACTTATGATTGGAAATATAATGTAGGGAGATCATGGAAGAACATAGCAAGGAATTTAAGAACTTAGCAATAAGGATCCTGTGTGAATTGGCAAAGGTTTTAAGGATGGATGAAAAGGAAATGAGAGATCTATTCAATGATGGTATGCAGATAATAAGGATGAATTATTATCCTCCTTGTCCTGAGCCAGAAAAAACAATTGGCATAAGTCCTCATTCTGATGCTGATGCCCTCACCATCCTTCTCCAGCTCAATGAAACTGAAGGTCTCCAAGTTCGAAAAGACGGTATTTGGGTGCCTGTAAAGCCCCTCCCAAATGCTTTGATTGTCAATGTTGGCGATATGATGGAGGTAAATACATAATTGAGAATTACTTTGTTGAGTAATTGAAATTCTCTAAGGACGTGACCCTAGATAAAATGGATGATATGTAGGTTGGATTAGGGTAGATGGTTAATAGGTAGTCGAACATTGTATAGTGTTTCTTGTCAGTATTATTATTATCGCTCTCCTACTATCTTATTCTTTGATTTGATTATTACTTGATGTTTCCTAATTTTGTTTCGGTTATCGTTGTTATTGCCTAATCTCCACGGTTTTTGACATGACTTCTTCACTACTGTATTTCCTTTTCTTACTGAGTTTTGTTATGCTTTACTTGAGTTGAAGTCTATCAAAAACATCATTTATCTTCACAAGGTAGGGCTGTAGAGTAGGAATTACACTGAATTTGTAGTTGTTACATTACATGGATAATTAGGTTAAACTTTATCACTTAGAACAAATTGGAGACTATTAATATTAGAATTAACTCAAGACAAGTAGACTAGATCAAATAGATGAATGAATGGAATTTTACTAATTAATCCATTTACTTGCAAGTTAGCTAGACGATATATAATCTTATTTTTGTAAGAAAGAGCTCATATGTATGTATGTTATTTGACTTGGCGCACAGATATTGAGCAATGGTGTTTATAGAAGCATTGAGCACAGAGCAGTTGTAAACTCAAAGGAAGAGAGGCTATCTCTTGCAACATTCTATGTCTTCAACCTCGACTCTGAATTAGGACCTGCATACAGCCTCATTGGACCAAGTAATCCTCCAATTTTTGGAAGAATTCGTGTAGGAAAATATTTGGAGGATTTTTTTGCACGAAAACTTGATGGAAAATCGTTCATTGATCTCATGAAGGTAGAGACAAAGGATGACGAATCCTAGGTACCATTTGATACTCCAGTTACTCTTTCTATTGTAATTTCAAGATTCAATGTTTGATGGCTGTAAGCCTGTAATAAAGAAGAACAATAATACACTCTCTTTTTATGTAATTTGATTTTATAAAATGACAATAAATTGAGACATATTTGTAAAACTAAGCTAAAAGAAAAACAATATGAATCAAGAAATGAGAGCTTTAATTTCTTATTTCTTTCAAGTATTTCCCAAATTTTCAAGTAGTACAATATAAACTCTCATCTTATGCATCTATTTAAAGTTTTACGTAGAGGTATACAAAAAGTTAATCATAATATATATATCATTAACCATAAAGATTGTGGAGGAACGGGGGATCGGAGGGTTCAAAGAGTGTGATAGTCATACTGTTATCTCCTGTATTCAGGTTAGTCAAAAATACAGAAACAGAAAAAAAAAGATGAAATAGACAGAATGAATTTTAATCCGAGTCCACAGAAACCACTGTGTTTCCTTAAGAAATTTAATCCCCTCACTGTACCCGAGGTTGCAGATTAATTTCTCCCAAGATAAAACAGATTAACCTGTTAAAGAAGTAGCGGTACCTCAAACTTCAATAACTTCAGCGAACGCAAGAACAGCAACAAGAGCACACACAGACTCAGTCGATCGACAATTTTATTTATGAGAGAAAATGTATGCAGAGAGGAAA